ATTAAACTCAGGTTGCTGCTCTGTGATGCTAGTTCAGATACTTGGCATCTCATCTTGGGTGCAAGCTCATCAATGTTTGGGCTCAGGCTCTGAGCTGAGGAGACCCTCAGGATGGAGTGAAGGTGTGCGTGCAATATACCGGCGGGCCAGATCTAATAGTAATTAGAAATTATCCTGCGGGCCGAAATTAAACCCACCAAGGGCCTGATTTGGCCCCCGGGCCTTGAGTTTGACACATGTGACTTAAAGCTTTTGATTTGCGAGTATTTGCTGGTTTTCCCCTCTGATGATTGTAAAATGAACAAAGTTATTTGTGATGAACATTTCCTCTATTTTTCCAGGTGGTTAATTGTAGGGATGGGTATTGTTAGGATTGTATTGATATTGATACTCCTCATCTCCTTGGTCCTTTATCGATACCTTTCTTTCATTACTAAATACATGGTTTTTAAATATCTTATAAAAAAATAAATACAAATTCATCAAAAGACTGGAATATGTTTCTCACGTTTTGCGATATTTTAAATAAAAACAAGTACTTATTGTTCGTAGAGCGTAACCAGTAATGTTTAAAACTACAGGGTCATTTCATAAACTCAATAATGAATGCAACCATATTAAAAACATCCATACAATCTAAATTATTAATCTGCTCACTTCAGAGTTTAGACTTTGTAAATGTTTGTGTTTGAATGTGTGATGTGCCATTAATCTGCTAAATATTAAGCGTGCAGATCTTGAATTAATGAATAAGAGTTAGCTAAATATTGTGTTTCTTCCTGTTGTTCCAGATGTTGGGTTCTGTCCTGTGAAGCTGGGCATGATGTCCAACCGGCTGCAGAGCGGCATGAACTCCCTGCAGGGCTTCAGGGAGGACAAGAGGAACCGGATCACTCCAGGTCATTCATTACTCCTGCTGTTCCTGCACATCTCTAATATCAGATAGATAGATACTTTACTAGTGCCAAGTGGGGAATTATTTTTGACACAGCAGCATTTTGACAGTAAATCTTCAGGACTTACAAAATTACTTAAAGATTAAAAGTTTCAAAACAATATATACAGATCTTCAGTAAAAAAAACACCTATATTCAGATACTTAATATCAGACCCCTCTCTGACCCATATTAATCTGCTTATATCAAACTCTCTCCACAGTGTCCTACGTCAACTACGGGCCGTACACCTCCTACGCTCCGACCTACGACTCCAGCTTCTCCAACATCAGCAAAGACGACTCGGACCTGATCTGCTCGCTGTTCGGAGAGGAGGCCGGCCCTCAGGGTCCAGACAGGTGCGTTCAGCAAGACCCCGAAACAATCTGAAGATCTGTCGCACTCACAATAGGCGCTTTCACAACGGAGTACTTTTCCCTTTCAGTTCCGATAGTTCCTGGAATTTTGCGTTCACACCAAAAAGAGAACTTAGTTCATGAGAACTTTTACCCCCATGTTTTGTCCCTGCTAGAGAGGTGGGACTATCCTGGGGAGAAAAAAGTTCCAATTTCTGATTGGCTGGGCGAATTGCAAACCACGCCCCGTAAAACTCAGAAAAGTTTTGTGAAGACGCCATTGTATTTGCTGGCATTAGCATTATTAGCATTAGCATTAGCCCAGTGCACCAGCGCAGAGAGACTAACTTAGGGCAACACAAAAGAAAACATGGGAGCGGTGGAGATGAGGAGGTGTCGGCGTTCTGGCGATTTACTCGAAAGGCTGCTGGGTGTCCCAGCAGCTTCTACTGAAGCCAGTCCCTAACTCCGGGGACTTCCGGCCGGGGACTTCGGGCGGCAGTATACGCCGTGAAGTGGTTTGCGGCCTGCCACTAAACCCAAAGCAGAAGAAGAAGAAGTGACGTCAGCGGCTTCATTTGCGTAATCCACCCCCAGGAACTTATTTCCGGTGTGAACGCGATCTGCTCTTTAGTTCCATGGGGGAACTAAGTGCTGGGAACTAAGTACGGCAAAGTACTTGGTGTGAAAGCGGCTACTGAACGTCACCAGACACATTCCAGGATTATTACCCTCCAGATGTTAGTGTTCAACAATCCATTATTTTTCTTCTTTTTAAAAAGCCATTATTATTGTTATGTATTGGACTGTTTTTCTTACAGTGTGCAGGAGGTTCAGTTTTTGCGAGTGTCAGCCGTGTCAACATCGACTTCTCATTATTGTTGGCCAACAAAGTGATTCTCATTTTCTTTTCCACCTACTTTTGCTGAAAACAATGGCATTAAATGTTATCTCTGTGTGTTTTTAGCAGTTTGAAAGACTTCCTGGCCAAATCAGACGAGTACGTTTACAAAATGGCTGACAATGTTCTGGATGCGCTGACCAACGGAGAGCATTCAAAATCCCTGAAGGAGAATCAAGTAAGCTCATGCTCTGACATCTCAACTGATCCAAATTAAGGCTAAATATTTGTATAAATTATTTCTATTCATCTTCCAATTATTTGCTAGATCAATCGATGCATCGTTGGTGAATTAAATGTCAGATAATATTTTTAAAATGTCCTTCCCAGTTTCCCAAAGTCCATGCTTATATCGTTTGAAAGGCTTTACCCGAAGATATTTAATTTAATATGATGTAATCTTCCTCATTGATGGCCTGAAAACAGCATTTTCTGACACTATTGCATGAATAATGTGTTTTCATGCCATTTGTCATTTTGGTTTAGAAAAATGAATTGTATAATATTTAGTATTATATTTTGCTTCACACTAAAAATATTTTATATTTAATTTTTCACTATTTATAATTTTATAATTTTTTTTTACATTTTGAAAAAAACATTTTGAACATATTGATGCAAATTTGTCCTCTATTCTGAGACCCTCACAGTATTCTAGTCCCTTTTCAAAACTCATCTCTTCTCCT